AATATTGTTCGAGTTACTGTCGCTTCATCCGTCTGGACAACGCCCTATGTGAATTTGGAATTATCGGAACGCCTCAAGCGTTCGGTACGCGCATAAGTCTCATAAATTATCAAGCCGCGAGCCCGTAGATAAGGAAGTGGGATGCAGTCTGGGAAGGGATCATACAATCACGACACAATATTTCCGCGATACACACCCACTTGCTGAGGCATAAAAACCCTTCGAGGTAAGGGAAAAGCCCGAGCAAGCGTACACTTTATTCATTCTCAGTACCTGGCCCGCAGTAGTAACGGGCGCAGGCATCCATCCGTCACACACACCCATGTACATCAATCACGTTACAGAGTCGCCTTTACATCCGGTGACCGGCTCAACGCGCGGTAACTATCTCTCCGCGGGCCGCAATGGCGACGAAGTCCGAAATGGCGGGTGCCGTTACAAACCGACACCGCCCCCCCCCTCTCTCTCTCGCAGGTATGAACGCGCGTCGTCCCGCGCGAACTGTTGCTACGCGGGCAACTGTCCCCCCGCGCAACCGTAATGGCCGCGATGGCCCGAAATAAGGCTCGTGCCCACCCCGGGGGCACGGCCCGCCGCCAACGAGGACTTCCCTGTCGGGGAAGCGCGGCCCTCCGCCGTCGGCCCGGCAGCCGCTGGCGGATGCAAAAGGGTATGGTGCTTCCTCTGACAACCGGGGACGCCACAACGCTTATCCAATCGGCAATCGCGCACTCTATGTCCGCCTAAGCAGTTATAGCAAACTCCCGAACGTTGCACACACTCGCGTCGGTCACTCGCAGACTTCGCCTTAAAGCTAGTGCATTTTATCAGGGGATGAAAGCCCGGACAAGCAATACATTTCAATTTGTCCGATCTCGAAGAGGAAGTGCTAGCGTGAAAGACCTTCTGTGTTTTATGAACGGGCTTACCATCGTGAGCCGTTCTCTTCTCCCCCTTATTACTCGTTAGAGATTCCGAACTCAACATGTGGAGCGTCTGCGTTCGCCTTTCCAGAAAATCTACTAAGTCCTTAAAGGTAGGCAAGTATTTTAACGGATCAATATCCCCCAATCCCACATTCACTGCAGCCTGCCGGTCCCTCACACTGAGCTCAGCCTCCCAGAGTCTCCGTGACTCCGGATCTAACCTCTCCGCGAGAGAGTGGACAAGCCACGGATCCCAATGCACCACCGGTAATTTCATATTCGTGAGAGCGCGAACAATCCGCGTCGCTTCGTCGGTAAACGCACGCAAGCCTACAGCAGACTCCTTCCGCAAAGGTTGGAGGTGTGACAAAGACGTAAGATATTTCGCAAGAATGAGACGTGGGTTATGATATCTCGCCTTGAGCGTTAACCATGTACTGGCATAATTCGCGTTAGTCGTTTCGACCTCCTTAATTAACTCGGCAGCCGGACCCGTCAAGCACGACTTCAGAAATTGCAACTTAGTCACGTCCGCGAATTGGGGCACCTCATGTACCAGAGCGGTAAAGAGGTCGCAAAAGCTCGCCCAGTCCTCGTACTCCCCCGAAAACGTAGGTAACGGCATTCGCGGCAGACGCGCTATGGACGCGTCCGCATCCGGCTTGGATGTCCCAGCGTTCGCGCCCTGAGCATTCGTAGCCGGTATCTCCCCAACCTCAAAGGGCTCGCGCAAAGTTAATAGCTCGCGTACCTCCCCGCAAGTGGTGTGCAACGTAGCGTACATATCGTCCACCATATACGGATCCGACTCCGACCCCTCTTTGGCCGAGATCTCCCCGTGTGTGTTACATACGTCCGCCCATATCTCATTCAGGCGTTCTAATTGCGGCTGGATAACCGTTTTGCTCAAAGTGGCACTATCTCTACCGCGAAAGCTTTCCTGTATTAACCGCATCTCCTTTAAACGCATGTTCTGTAACGCGACCCATTTCCGCAACGTAGGAGGCGCCATGACAAACAACTTGATATCGCTGGTTAAGCTCACCGAATAAGATCAACGTATATCTCACAACGCGACAATCCCCGTTCACGGTGGTGCAGGCGGCACCAGACAAGTGCACGTCACACAAACTGGGTCGCTTAAGTCCGCGACGCAGATATAACACAGAGTACTTATGGTCGTCGACGAGCCTCGAATGACAATTGATCCAGAAACTCGTACCGCCACTCGGTCCAAGCAGGATTCCACACGCGCTGGACTCACGCCGCATACACTTTCTCTCTGGGACGACCAACAGTGTCTCCCTCGCTCGCAATCGCTCTCCTTCACACCGTCTCCGCAGTTACAACGGGTGCGTAAACGCGCTGAAAACGGTACAGAAAACAGTAATGCGTCATGACCGAGAAGACATGCATCCCACACCTTCCTCACCCGGGGCACCAGAAATTGTTCGAGTTACTGTCGCTTCATCCGTCTGGACAACGCCCTATGTGAATTTGGAATTATCGGAACGCCTCAAGCGTTCGGTACGCGCATAAGTCTCATAAATTATCAAGCCGCGAGCCCGTAGATAAGGAAGTGGGATGCAGTCTGGGAAGGGATCATACAATCACGACACAATATTTCCGCGATACACACCCACTTGCTGAGGCATAAAAACCCTTCGAGGTAAGGGAAAAGCCCGAGCAAGCGTACACTTTATTCATTCTCAGTACCTGGCCCGCAGTAGTAACGGGCGCAGGCATCCATCCGTCACACACACCCATGTACATCAATCACGTTACAGAGTCGCCTTTACATCCGGTGACCGGCTCAACGCGCGGTAACTATCTCTCCGCGGGCCGCAATGGCGACGAAGTCCGAAATGGCGGGTGCCGTTACAAACCGACACCGCCCCCCCCCCTCTCTCTCTCGCAGGTATGAACGCGCGTCGTCCCGCGCGAACTGTT